TACAAGATAAGAACAGGGAGTTCAGCTGTACATCCTCCTGCTCTCTCCATACCTCTAAGTGCAATAAAGGCACTTTCTACTGGTATATCTGAAAATCTTGTGTTATTGGGCATGTGGGGTGTCTTAACCAGTATATGGTGTGGAAGAATTTACCTACAAGAATAGGTCACAAACAAAACTGGTTTATAATTTCTTTTCAAAAGCAAAAGAATTAGACCAGACGGGGAATAGAAAGACCATCTGTGCCTAATTAAAGGGTGAGACTGCATAAGAGCAACAGATGTTATATTATTGTAGTCAGAAGAGTTTATTGCTAACAGTGGTAAATATTGTACATGTTGAGTTGGGTATTTCCAAGCAATAACTTAGCAGACATGCTTCCACATAGGCTACCCTTTTCTTCCTGGACTACATTTCATTAGTTTTTAACATCGTGAAAGGTCAAATTGCAGAAGAACAATATTTTCTACATACTGAGAATGCTGAGGACTGAAAAGACGATGATACCCATCACAAAAAGGCATCTAGTGTTGATGATAAAAAAATGGGCAAGTTTGTATGACAGAAAGGGCTAACATTCCTGCAGCTTCATTCAGTTCCTGAAAGCCCTCTTTAAACTAGAGATAACCACTGTGGGAAAGTTCATCTGGCTGTGTGGACTGAATGGATTCTGTAAATGAATGGCATTTAAGTTCATAGCATGACTCAAGAGCAGGGACTCTCTTTAATGTGGGTCAATTTCTTCTCCTGAGTAACTTCTGCAAGCTGTTTGAAACTACCCTGCACCGATAGTTCAAAGGAGAAGTTGTGGTACATGGAGCAGCAAACTCTTTCAGTTGCCATGAACTTCCGCTGGCCACAGAGGTGGACGCACCTTTTGTTGCCTGATAATTACAAGGTTACATCAAATCCTACCTGTGTTAAGGCTTTATACAAGCCACATTCCTCCATATTGTTACTTCCTATTCTCACTGTTCTGATTTGATGTGCAATTATGTACATTCCTAATAATGTGACTCCATATGAAGTGGAGATACACGTGTGTTTTGTGACTACGTGTAGTACTCAGTGCGGTATTAGCTACCCGCATACAAAGGGATGTGGGGCTTTGCTTGCTTGCTTGTTTGTTTGTTTTAATTGGGCTTTTTACTTCAGAGTTGGAGCAATCTGAAGGGCTAAGAAATTCTGAATTAAATGTGCAGGAACATGTATGCAAATTTTTTTCTCTGTTTACTTTTTCCTTTTCTTTTGCAGAGATTTTAGCTCATTTTCATTGCTAAAGCAAGGAATGACAATAGCTCACAGGTTTTGTTACCACTTTGTGTTTCTGCTTGTATCTCTGTTCTCTTCTTCCCTAGAGAGAGCTTTCCATGCACGTCTCTTCAAACAGTCATTCTCTGCTCCTGAGACACAAGTTATGGTAAAGGGGCACTTTGTGGGTAGACTTACAAGTATCATACTGATAAAAAGGGATCAGATAAAATATTGCTTTGTCCGAAAGAGGTAAGTTAGAAACTGGGAAGGAATGAATGCCCAGTCAGTGATCTACAGTTACAGGAGCTGATGGGAAGCAGTGTCAGGAGAATCCAGAGGTTGCCATAGAAATGTAACAATGGGTGGAATCCGCAGGGACTGCACCTGAATCAAGTACCAAACATGCAGGAATTCTCGGTGAATGAAACTCTCAAGTTTAAGAGAAAAATAGCAACCATATCACAGATAAAGATAATTGAGCTGTCTGTCCTGTTTGTGATATCATGGTAGATCCGATCTGGACATCAGCCGTGATTGCGGCTATGCTGCATTCCCAGCCTTGTTTGGGTGAAATATATAAACCTCAGGAGAACTTTCAGAGCATCAGTGTACGTCTGCTAGCTTCTCTAGTTCCTTTTGCCAGGAAATCTAGAAACACATTAGCATTTTTGGACCATAGCAAGCATTTCAGTTGCTTGTTATGGAAATTCTGTGTAACAACAGCCTAATGCATTCAACTTTGGGATAACATGTTTCTGATAATTTTTGAGAGACTCAGAGTTTTTAAAAAGACAAGAGGGTATATCCTGGGTAGAGGGAGGGTGTACAAAAACGGTTCTCTTTTAAGAAGAGCCTGAACTCTGAATATCCCTCATCCAATAAGCCCCTGGAAGAGATGCCATGCAACCTGCAAACCTCTTTATAAATCCATTTATGCATGCAGTCCCACATACCTGGAAAAAGAAAGGGACCATTATGATAATCTAAAGGTCTGGCAAGATTGATATTTCTACTGTTTGGAAACATAATGTTTCTCCCCATTAGAGGCATTTTGGAGTGAAGAATATTGATTGCCTTTCAATCAACTAGAGTTGTAAACAACAAACATAGACAGTTCCAAATCCACCACCAAGATACCCTCTTAGTGTAAATGAGGGAATAGATGTCATTAATATTGACTGTCTTGATATATTAGACCTTGTAATCCCTGACAGGGCTTGTTGGTCTTCTGGAAATGAAGTGAGACAATTTGTTTTTAAGCAGATATAGTGCTCTCATTTAAATGTTAATCTTAAAGAGGGAAACCAAGGCTTATGTCTTAGCCCTGTCACAGATTTCCATCAGGGATCCAAATTCTTACAAAAGATATTCATTCAAGCACATAGCAAAATTAAAACAAACCAAGCATAGTCAACTGGGAGTCTAGCAGTCATGAATTCTTTCAGTGATCTACACAACTTAAGTGCTCTGACTCAGGAGGTTAGGTGCTGGACTTCTGCAATCGAAAGCCCAAGTCCACAATCTAAGGCAGATACCAGGACTTCCTGTTGCAGGGCAGGGATGGAGACAGGCATCCTCTGAAGGGAGTCATCTGCCCACCTCAGACAGCAGTGTCGAGATGGGCTGAGTAGCTGGCTGGTGGTGCCTTTCTCTCTCTGGTAACTGCAGAGGCAACTTACCTAAATACTAATAGTTATGTTTTGGTCATAAAAATCCCATCCTCTCAGCCTCCCCAAATGCAATAACATGACTTTTGGGCCTGACAAGGATGTTGTTCACATGATCACAGGTGTCTGTGAGGTATATATATTAAGAAAAATCTTAAATTGTATTAAAGACAACAACTGTTTTCCTATAACTTTCCTACATATGTCAATCAAGTAAAAACACCCAATATATAGCTTATACCCAGTGCATTGTGTCAGGAACTCTTCAAAGAGCTTGTTTTAGATAATGTATATATAAAAAAAGGAGAAACCTTGTAATACTACACATTTTTGTACATTTACAAACTGCTTTTGTAGTCCTGAACATATATAGTCAAAGTGAGATCTGGGCAATATCCCTAGCAAATTGTTATTCATTAAAAGAAAAACAGTTTGAGAAGGGGGCAGAACTCTCTCTGAATTAATTCAAAACTCAACAAATGAGTTTTGACAGGGGAAAAAGAAGAAAACATTTGGAGAGGTCAGACTTTTTGTTCAACAAAGTTAAACATTTTAAATTTTATTCAATTTTATGTTATCATTTCAAAACTGATGTACTATATAGAAGGGATAAATAGCCCTAAATGAAACTCCAGAATGAAACTTTTCATTTCAGCCCACCCTGAAACAGTTCTTCCATTTTCATTTTCTTTAGTTTAGGCACTGAATGAAACAAAACCATATTCCTTATTAAATTACCAAAAATTCTTACAGAAAAAGATCTTTCCATCTAAGGGAATAGCGAAATTCTTAAGCTTCAGAAATATATAAAATATCATTATAACATTAAAGAGCAGTCATATTGTATACAATGCCTGAAATGGAAGCATTTCTTTTAGTTTGTGTTTTTGATGGTTTTGAAAGCATTGTTGAGAAGACAAAATGCAGATAAAATCTTTTATGCAGGCTCCAAATTTCAAGTTGGGAATAGAGACACAATCTACAGTAAAAGAAATAGATTTTTAAAGAAAGTTTTATCTTCATTCATAACAGAATAAAGTTATTCATTAAATGCTTGTAGATGAAAGTTTGGTTAGTGAACATGTTTATCTTCCAATTGAATACAGTTCTGCAAGATATTTTACTTTGCAGTAAAGGCATAACAGCAGCAACTTTTTTTACTTTGCACGCAATGTACATGAAGATGCCACATGATTTACAGGGCTTGATTCCATTCTCACTCGTCAGCTTCCCACTGGTGTTGGTTTAGTGGTGCGATTCCTCTTGATACTGGCTGAATTCCCAGTCTAAGTGAGAATCAAACATGTAGGGTTTTATTTTGTTCAGGACAATGAATAACAATGAGCTTCACTAGTTCTAGAAGCTTTACTTCATTCTGGTGCATATGTTGTGGCCTCTGCTCATTAGCACATACATTCAGGCTCCTGCTAAGCAAAACACGATATATCTGTAGATGAAAGTGCTCGGTGACTTTCGTTCTTTCTGTTCCCACAGCTCTGTGCCCTTTAACAACAGCCCTGCACGCTCTACAGAGACAGCACCAAGTGGCAGCGTACATTCGGAAGGCACAATGGCTCCTGGAGACTCCACATGGTTATAAGCCATCCGCTGGCAGCTGCAAGCCGTGAGACCATGCATTGTGTGCACTCCCCTGTGGTCAGTCAGATCTGCCAGAAGATGGAAACTAGGGCAGGACTGTCCCTTCTATTCCCCGTGCCCCACAGGGCATCTGCAGGAAGAGGGACTGTTGTGGTCCTACCGCTGAGACTGCACGAGTGAGGAGAATTCCTGCGTGCCTACCCCAACTCACGTGCATTGCCACAAGGACCAGCTACAGCCATAATATAGCCCTTACCTCACACTGATAAAGTCTGAAAATGCTGCAGCCCAGATGATAGCATATGGATTGTAATGGAGACCCTTGCACATGGAGTTTCTAAGGAAGCAAAAGAAACCTCCCTTTTGCTCCCTGTCTCTTCTTTGACTGTCTCTCCCTCCCTTGCTCCAGGTTCAGAATCACATCACACAGTAAGCAGGTATTGCAGAGGTGAGCACAGTACGTTTCCCTTCCCTAAGGAGTCACACTTCTGTGTGCTGTGAGCTAAAGGAGGCCAAGCTGCCTTTCTGACTTCGGTTAAACTGGCAGGAGCTGGCAGCCCGGATCCTTCCACCTTTGGTCCCACTTTTGTGTTTCTGCTTGTCGTGTGCAATAAAGCTTTCAATCAGCTTCAGTTTTTCATGCTCTTCCTTCAGGAAGAAGTCAACAAGCACACTCTTCTCCTTTTTGATCTGTTCACTGATGTCCTTGGGGATGTCAGGAATCATCCAGTCAACCAGAACACTGAGGGACATCACCAAGTTCTGCAAACACAGCAACGGATATGAAGAAAGTATGAAAAATAAGAAATACAACCAGAGCAAAACCAAACTTTTGCTATAGCTATGAGGCAGGTATTAAACACATTTTGGTGATGGCATGTAGTATTAACCAGCTGAGTAACGCCTTAGTTCCAGAAACAGCTCATGTTTGTGCACAACTCCCCCTCAGTTGAGCGGCTGAATTAAACACATGCTTCAGTCAGGTTTGAAACGGGAAAGGACTTGGATTCATCAAATGATTCATGGCCTAAGCAAGCAAAACAGCCTTATTCTTTACAGACATTCAAAGGTGATCAGTTCTCAACATCAAATTCATTGAGACTGAGTTCAGAATCCATTACTATAAGGGCAACATCAGTGAAAGCATCCTCCAATGCAATCAAACCCATGTGTTTCTAATTTGGCCTGAGCAGACAGCCGACAACTTTCGTGGTCATTCTGTCCTCAAATCCTTCAGTCTGCTGACAAGCAGGATTTTTTCACACTACCGCAGCGTGCAAGCCACAACCCTGAACCTCAGGTGCCCAGGTCATTACAGGTGATGCTCATAACACAGAGGTACGAAGCAGACTGGGCAAACAGTTTTTCTTGTTTGTGCAATTTGTAGATAAATTATACTTTGGGGTTTATATTATCATGACAATGCTTTGAAAACTGCTGTGTTGCGTAATGCCACAAAATGTGTGAGAATGTTTGCTGACAAGGCTACTAGCATGAACCCTCCGTCCCCATCTGAGACAATGGAGCTAATTAACCAGGGAATGTACTCTGGCAGAACAGCAGGCAGGCTATTTGAAGCCCAGCATAACCAGTTGGTTTCAAATGTTTTTCAGCCAGTGGTGGAAAATTACTGAAGACAGAGCAAAGAAGCAGAAGAGGGCAATATAAACCAGGCAAGACTCACAGTCACACTTAGGAATATTGGGCAGGTGAGGAGAAAAGACAGGCAGATTTCAATATGAGGAGTGGACCTAATTTGACTGAGGAGGGATCCCAGATCATGGAGGAGAGCGGGCGGCTTTTGCCGTTCAGAAGGCAAGCTATAATAGCAAATATTGCTATCATGCCAATGAAATATCCACACTGGGGAGAATTTACTCCCTTTACTTGTAGAAACTAGCAAAAGACCTTGGAGGATTTATTACTTCTGTTTATTTCTTGCTTTGGGTAAAGAATAGCATTTCACAAGGCTACATAACATTAATGTGCTTTTCACAAGCAGTGCCCTGAGAGTATAAAAGCTGACAGAGTCCACTTAACTGAAATGTACAACAGCCTGGGGTACTTTGGGGATCGCTGCTAGTGCCAGGGGCTAATGCAGGCTGTGGGGCTTCCCTTCCATGAAGGGAGAGGACATCTCTGCTGAGGAGGTGGCCACAGCGCTCCGAAGGGAGAACCTGTGCTGCAGCCCACTGACTGAGTGCAAGCGCATCAGGCTGGGTATCTGCAAACAGAAAGGCTCTATCGGACATGGGCTTCTTTGGCACATGCATTTCAATTCATTTATTATGACATTACCATGACTGAAATTGCAGCAACTCAGCAGACTTACCTGAAATAGAATCACAAAAGCCAAGCGAGCCGATAAGACCGCCCAGTACTGTTTAGAAAACTCATACTGATTTTGGGACCAAGGTGGTTCTCTGTAGTCTTTGAACCTGTCAGCGGAGACAGCTCAGTTATGACACAGTTCCAGCAATCTCCTCCTGCACCAATTGCTTTCATTAACATAATTTTCCAATCACAAAACCTAAAGAGTCAAATCTTCCAGATGTTCCTACTTCAACCCTTATTATGAAATAAAACTCCAGAATTAGAGCTGGACTATCTCCACTGAATTTAGCAAGCTTAGCCTGGTTTTCACAGTTGTAACCAAAATCAGAACACTATTCCAATGTCAGAAATTTCCAGATTTTCCAGGATTTACAAATGTCCCCTTTTTTTCTGTTAATGTTAAATTGATGTCAGTGTACAGGGAATAAAGTGTTGAAATTAAAGCACAGCGATAGTCCAAGGCAATTTCAGACTAAAGGACACAAACCTGCATTCATCTCACCTAGATTTTTTTTAATTTAGGGAATAATTCAGCCCACATAAATCTGACTCACACTTCGGTGGTTCCTGTCTTTGCATTAACGACAGGGGGAACCATGGGAAAGACACTTCCTAAATTAACTGTCTAGCCTTAGACAGGATAAAACAGAGCCTTCGTGGTTTGGTGTAAAGACTGATGCTTTTAGTATTATCATCAATCATTTGGAAGTAAACAACAAGCTAATAAAAGTCACAGATGCTCCTAAATTGGAAAGTTTTGCAAATAGCAGGAAACACAGAAAGCAATAAGAAATACAGACAGGAAACACAATGAGAATAATCCGGGGAAATGGAAAATAATTAAAAATAAAACAATTGAAGGATTTTTGAAAGGATAGAGTTTGAAAGAAAATGCAATGAAAATAGCCTGGAGCTTACAGTGGCCAGCAAGTTAGCACAAGTTTGAAATACGGCAGCAGGACAGTATGACTTGTGGATGTACAAACAAAAGGCACGATGGTGCTGGGGGGCATTAGCCCTTCTCTGAACAGTTCAGGTAAAGCCACACCTGGAATGCTGCATTCAGCCATTCAGCTGTGGGGACTTCAGAGGAAAAAGAAAGGGAAAAAAAAATAGAAAAAGAAAAAGATAGCGACAAATTGAAAGCAGTTCAGCAAAACAATCCAGGGGCTGAGGACAATGACTCACCAGCAAAGATTAAAGAAGAGCACATGTATTGCTCTACTTTGGTAAATAACAGCCACAGTTGGACATGATAACCATGCACAAATTGTGCCCTTAAGACTGAAAGGGATAATTTAGTGTTGTTCGCAGTGTTTGACTAGGAGTAATGGGATGAAATTAAGAAAGGGAAAATCTGTTTTGAATACCACAAAACCCTTCCTGACAGTAAGATTCATTAGACTGTGGAAAAGCCTCCATTGGGGGATGATGGAGAAGGTTCATACATAAAATGTCGGCTTCAGTTTGCAGGTGTGCTTTCCAAAATTACCTTCAGGTTTTGTCCACACGGCTTTGCACGTTAAATTACACATTTACAATCCACACATCCCCTACACCCTGCCTTGCTCTCCCCCCCTCCGCCGCCCCAAGAAATTCATTCTGAAATGCTGGATGTAATTCTGTGATGCACCTTCTGGAGACAAAGGACACAAGGTACAACACACGGTGAGGGCAGGGAGGAGGGAGAGGAGAAAACAACTGTAAATTGGGGGCTGTATTGATTTATGGAAGCACTACCAGGCCTATGTTAGACTCTGGATTATTTATTTTGTTCAGCTGTGCATACACAGCAGCCAAGCTCTCCATCCTGTCTTACACAGGATTCCTGTTTGGTCCTATGCTGTGCCTGCACCGTGAGATTCCCACTCTAGTACTTTTCTCTACAACGTGGACTCCCACGTGCTTCTCAAACCCGTGTACAAGGGCTGCAGCGAGGGCCAGAATCAGTTCCCTTGAATTGAATCTGCTTGAACATCAAAGCCAGGAAAACCACTGAGTTTGTTGTGGATTTTGCCTGGCACTATAAATCAATCCCAGTCTTGAAACAGAGCCCAGGTTCACCTGGAAGGGTCACCAACTGTGGTGGGTTTTCTATTTAATGTACTCCGAGCGTCACAAACTATGCAAGTGTTGCAGATCCTGTGGAAATTTCCACCTGACTCAGCTGGAAATCACACTGCTTAGGATGCCTGAATCTGCATTCAACAGAACATTAGCTAATGATTTATGGTGAAGGGAGATGTTGTCAGAGCTACAGACAAGGTAGCTGGGCCCCTCCCCACCTCCCTTTTTAATTATTCTAAGGCACATGGGACTTCAAAGTACAATAGCCTGGGTCTTTTCTAACCACTATATTCTACAGGTAGTTTCTTTTTTAAAAAGACCATCTTTTCCCTCACCTCTTCAATTCTTCATTCTTAAAGTAATTAATTCAGCAGGTATGCAAGGAACAGCAAACGACCAATGTTACAAAGACTATTGTCTTTCAAAAACAGCAAACAACTCTAATTCCACTGAAAAGGGGCAAGATTATGAAATAGTCAATGATGTGGTTTAAGAATAGAGCACAGAAAAGTTCCGAGGGAAAAAAAAGAGGAAAATGCACCCTGAAAGTAGAGAAATGTTGTGGAAGTGAGGATGGATGGAGAGGACCTGGCAAGACTTAGACAAAACTGAACTGAAGCCAGAGCTAAGAGAAATGTGCTAGTACATTTCACAAGTATATTGTGTGGAGAAAAAGAAAGACTTGTATAAAAAATCAAAATGTGTATGTAGGTGGAACTGCAAATCAGTCTAAATGAGCTGATCTGTTTAATTTCGTTTTTCAGCTGGTCTTTGACAAGAAATTGAAGAAAACATGACCGAATCACAAGGAAATAGTGTTTCAGCAATGCAGGAGTACATAAAAATTGTTCAGGGAAAAACATTAGAATCCACCACTGGTCACTGGGAGTAGATGGGATGAATCCCAGGGCATTAAGAAAATTAGTTCATTCAAAGACACCTTATAAATTTGCTGAATATTGGAGCAGACTTTCACTAAGGGAAAAGTCCCTCTAATGACTCCATATCTGCTGGTTTCTCCTTTTCAGTGCGATCAGCATGCTTTCATGTACTCCCTTATCATACCAGATTATAAAGATTAAAAGGGCAAAACCAATAAAAACGTCACATAACTTAGCAAGCTTTGCTTTTAATTTGCCTTCAGCTACACAAATGTCGTTTTGCTCTGAAAAAAATCATTACAACTAATGCTATGCGTCAGAATGGCGTTACAGCAATGTTTATTTGGAAGCAGTGTCAAAGAGTTCACAGCATTGTAGAAAATGCTGCTCAAAATATTCAAAGAATGTATTCTGGATATTCGGTGGGAGAGTTGTTTCTGGCTTGTTATGGTTATTTTTAAGATACCTTAATCTCTGGCAATGCCCGTAAGGAGAAAAATCCAAGCTTATTGTAACCACATTTATCTCCAGAGGTCACAGAAATCTAAGAATAAGAGAGGTCAGCTTGTTCCCAACATATTTGCCAGAAACAGAAAAGCAGATTTTATTTTCAGCTTAAGGGACAGTGTTTGTTGCCTGTCTCTTGGGACACAAGCTAGATACCCCATATTTTATCACAGTGATAGTTCTGTCCAAAGCTGAGATTTGATAACATTCAAATGAGGCAGGTGATAACAAGAAACAGTGATGTGGATGCTGACATTTTTCCTAATTGTTCCCTGATAATAGAACAGAAATGCTCTCACAGTTATTTCTCATTCAGACTAGTACATGGTCAAACATTTAGTATATGCTTCTTGTTTGCAATAATTATTTTTTTTCTCGATGGCATAGACTTGATATTATCAGACAGGGACCACTTTTATAGTGTGGATTGCTCCCTTCTCCCTGTATTTTGGCTCTGTTGAATCCATGCTCAACTGAGGAGCGCATTTCATTGCTGCTGCTAATGCACACATTTCCAAATAGAGTGCCGGTCATACATCATAACGGCCAGTGACCGAGACCAGGTAAATAGTAGCAAAGTGAAAGTAGCAAAGTCACAGTGAAGCAGGAGATCCATAAGGATCGAGATGCTTGTTAAAGGAAAACACATGCTAATTTGGGGATAGAAATGAAAAAGTGCCAGGAACTGAGAGCAGAAAAGCATTTCACAGACTTACAAGTCCATCAGAAAGTACGGAGATGCAGCAGAGCCTCACAAGTAACATTATACTAAGAAGTAGCTCCTAGCAACATACTGAAATGAGGAACAGCAGAGCTCACAGGGAATAACATCTTGAGAAAAGAAAGAGGACAGGCCCCAGGTTTAAAGTGCTTTACCCTGTCTGCCACAAACAAGACAGCATGTAGAGGACAGCATGCAACTTTAAGCACCAGAGAGCTCTTTTTTGCTTTCTGTCTGGCCTCAGCTGCCATCCGACTGCCTCCTGAGAGGTTCCTTTAACAAAGCTCAAAGTTCCTGACCCCAGGACATGGCTGTGCTACCTGACTTACATTCTCTCTCCTTACCTGCTGAAGAGCTAGGAGTCTTATCTGTGCACTCATCTAGCCCCCACGGCAGTCAAGGTCAGAAGGTAGGCACACCCCAACGGCGGTGCCTGAGTCAGAGGGCCAGATTTCTCTCTCCATTTTCTCTGCTTCCAGTGAAGGAACCGAGATGTGCCATTTTTGTGGGTGATACACATATACATATACATATACATATACATATACATATACATATACATATACATATACATATACATATACATATACATATACATATACATATACATATACATATACATATTTCTCTCTCCATTTTCTCTGCTTCCAGTGAAGGAACCGAGATGTGTCATTTTTGTGGGTGATACACATATACATATACATATACATATACATATACATATACATATACTCTGCTTAAAATCAGTGGGATCCTAATTATGATTAAAATTCCTTGCACAAGAGGAGGAGATAAACTTGTGCAAGTTACACTGAATAAGGCCAACTTTAAGACTTCTTTTGTGAAAACTATTACATTATGATATTTACTATATTCTCAAAGATGAGTATTGATTTGTAAGCCTCATTGAAGAACTTCCATCTACCCCTTCTCAAGTTATTTGAGCAAAACATCTTGTTCTCTAATAAAATCAGAATGGAAAAGCCCCCTGATTTCATGGGAGATAGGTATGTAGTCTACATTTAGAAATGTGAAGTCATTTAGAAGCAAGGGGAGGTTTTTGGCTTCAGGAACCTAGCTAGAATATGATCACTTAAATAATCAGTGAAAAGAAGTGAACTGTTCTGAAGGGCAATCTACAACGTCTGTTAGAAGCATAATTACAATGTTAATTTCTGTCTTTGCTTTTAAGTGGCTGCTTGTTTCTAAATTGATTTTTAGAAAAGTCAAATCAACAAATATTTAAAATTAATTTAATTTTGTAGGTGTTTTAAAAGTAAAAATGTTTGATTTATTTGAAATATTTTCTCTTCTCAACTTTAACATGAAGACAAAGATTTTAGTAGGACAAAAATGTGCACCCTAACTAGCTTTAGTTACAAGCCTTCTATGTCATGCTGCAAGCTGCTCTTGCAGATTTATGAAAGAGACTAATAATCATAACTTAACAGTAACCCTATAAAAAATTTCCAGCTGCCTTAGCTATTGTTATCTGCTCTGTAAATACAATTTTTTTAAGGAACTCTGAAAGTCAGGTATACAGAAATGTAGGGAACACTGGAACTAATAATGAAGAACTCTCCCTGTATTTTGAATAAGATTTATCAAGGACAATGAATTCAAGTGAATGGGAGGAACAGAGAAAGAATTCTGAAGCTCTAAACAGAAAACACTACTTGATATTTACAGTATCTGCAATACAGTATCTGCAATACTAGCAGTATTTTCTGCCAGTATCTGAGCATTCAATAAACCCGTATTGCAAGAAAAAGCCAGTCTGTTGCTAGATGATATGTGAATGTCATCTGTAAGATTTGTCTCGTCATTCTGCTCTGCTTGGTGACTGATTTTGTGCCCTTGCTTTGACACCGACGCTGAGAGAATATGGTGAAAGATTTCGAGAATCCCACCTTTGGCACTTTAGCCCAGATTTGATCTCAGAATAAAACCACACAACGAAAGCATGAGAGCGAAGACCTGAGTTTGAGAAAGGAGACTAGGAAGTCTTTCCTTTCACCTAGAGGTGAAACTGGTTTTTGAACCAGGACAGGTTCAGATGGCAACTACCAGGAGTACTACATTCAAAAGCCTTGCCACGCATTCAGAAAAAGACAGAGAACGTATGCAAATACATTATGCATAAAAACAAGGGAGGCCAATTAAAGACCTGTGTATATAGTAAAAAACATATAAATGAAGGCTATACATCTGCACTACAGGAGCCATGGACTAGACATTTTGGACATAGTTTAAAGGAAGTCGAGCTTTGTTTCCCCAGTCTGAAAAGATGAATCTGAAATATAAGACATGTAAATGGGGAATGGTGCAGCTTTTAAAGATGGGCAGAATATATTGAAAACTCAGATCTCATCAAGTAAACACTGAACAACATAAAGAAAAAGAAAGCCTGATTCTAATTAGTGGGTGTCCCTTTTAAAAACTCATTGTTTTTAATGAAAGTTATGTCTTTCAATAAAGAAGGGATTTTTTTTATTTGAGTAAGTCTACCTAAATTGTTTATTTTACCTTTTAATGCACTGGAAAAACCCTTCTAAGAATCTTTTAATATAATGAGAATACTCTAAAAACTGTACTCTTAAAACCACTTTTTTAAAGGCACAAATATTATCAGTTCCTACTTGGAAAAATTTTGTCTGACAACGGCCCAAAGGAATTACTTCGACTATGCAAACTGTCATTAGAAGTACTTTACCTGCAGAATAAAACATCCTGTGCAAATGGGGAATTTTCTGGCTGTGTTCCAGCCTTGAGATGACTGACATTGAAGTATGAGAGCGTGTGATTGATGAAGCCATGCATGGTTCCATTTTGACTGTATGCATATTGATACATAAGGCGTGGAACAAAATCAGATGTGACAGCAATTACAAAAGCCTGAGAGACAAAAAAAACCCAAAAACAACCAAACAACAGCGTCATGAATCTATGTCTAATGTGTTTCAGGTTAAGTTAATTCAGGTGATAATTTTCATGTTCGAGTGAATTTAGAGTGGTGATGAAATGAGAGTTAAATGGCCAGACCTGGTGCAGAATGTATACTTATAGGAATGCACAGTAACCTGCTCTGTCTCTCCAGAGGAGGGGTGTAGTTAGGGAGGTGGAATATTTCTTAGACCATAGAGCAGCAAAAGCAATTAATGTACTGTAGATTTCTCCAGCTCTTTCCATCCCTGGAGCCATTACGAGTTTTATCACTAATTTTAAAAAGCTACAACAACACGTAGTAGCTAGCTGGTATAATTTGGAGTATGATTTGGTGTAGTTACACAGTGTTATCTGAGATAAACCAGTTGAGTGTAAGGTAGTCATCCTCCATTTTCCCTTCTGCATCTGGATTTACACATCTGACACTGGTGGATCTCATGCTGGTATAAAATTTGTATAATTGTGAAGTGAATCAGACACAGAATTATCTAGATCATATCAATAAGAATTCATTATATTCATTTTAAACTACATTTTGCTAAATAGTTCTTCTGCATCAATATTATTCAGATGGAGAAGCAGAACTGGGCATTCAGTATTTTTTTTAAATTGGGTATGCACATATTTACGTTTTTGTCAACAAAATGTCATTCACTGATATTTTAAAGGAATCCCCAGGAAATAAAAACATTTAGAGTTTTTTTGACACAGAAAATAACCAAGGATCATGAATTTGCAAAGCATATTCAGATAAAACTGAGAGGTTGCAGAGTGCTCATCTGTGCTCATCTAGCACAGGTCAGTGCTGGAAATCTGAAATCTATGCCTGACTGCAACATCATGGGTATGTGCAGGTCTGCACAGATTTCATACCTTGAATCCTGGAAACTGCCGAGCCATAAGTGAACAATGCTCCACCCAAGTCAAATGACACTGCTTCTCTGGAGGCATTATATTTCTCCCAGTTGTAATGATAGCTTACATACTGCTACAGAATGCTGTTGTGCTGGATGCTATTGTACTAGATAAATTGCATAACACCACTGAACAAGTTTCCCCTTCAGTAGTGACAATCATCTGCCTTTCTACAGTGCATTGATACCTTTGATATTTTATGGTTAGACTTGATGATCTTAAAGGTCTTTTCCAATATAAATGATTCTATGATCTGTGGGTCAAAAACCCACTCAATAGTATTATGATTAAATTCCTGGGGCATAAGTTTTTTTATCTTAAAGAATATACCGGAAAATTTTACTTAAGGAATACATGTAGAACAATAAACATAATATATCTGTATAGCAGACATGCATTATGTTCATCTAATCGTTGTTCTATGAAAGAATGTACCTTTCCATTAAGATTTTGTAGCTTGGGGAGTATGTAACCCAACTCAAAAAAAAAGCTACTGTTACAGAAATACTCATTCTTTGGGAGAAATTATGTTTAGGGATATAACCATACCTGTATATATCAGAACAAATGCTAATGCTCTCTAGCTAAGGACTTTCTGCTCCTAGAATCTAGGATGTCGTATGTACATCCTTTTTATTCATACCAACAGTTATACTAGCAGAGTAACAGAAAAAGACATGGGTATGAATAAGAAGTAGATCTTTGCCAATTATCTGGAGTGTTGCCTGCTTATATCCCCTTCATTGGTTGTTCTTATCTGAATTAGTCTTCCTGTCCTACATAACACAAGGACAGACAGAATGAGATGAGTGAACGGTCATCTCATTTGTAATTAAATCATGTTTTACACTTCCACAAGAACGAATTGGGTAACTTAGATTTTATTGTCTTTTACAGCAATTAGGAAAATTAGACGTTACTTTTAAATTATGTTGAAGGAACAATATAAGCTCCCAATACCATGGTTAGAAACTGGTGTAACCAAATACTTACATTAATGATAACTGAAAGCTTTCCAATACCACTCAAAATGTTATACCAAATACCTGTAAATGAAAAACAGAACTTATTAATGAATTTACTACCATTTTTCTTCTTCCTTATTGAACTTTTGGTGTTAACATCACTGCAATGTTTCTTCACTGCTTACCTATATCTTTTGCTCTTACTGTGTCTGGCCTCCTCAGTTCAGTAACAAACTTTTTTGCATCAAGCCGAACTTCTATGATGTTGTTCAGAAGAGCAAAGAGAGGTGCCAGAGGGAAGGAGGCAACAAAGAGTGTGACAAAGCCAAACTGGATAACTGGAAGAGAAATATGCAATGTTTTTTGATATCTTCTGAAGGGAGCTGGTAAGTGCAGCTGACAGAAAATCGTTGATGAGCTTTGTGGGTTACCAACAAACCAACCAACCAACCAAAGAAAACTCTCTCACTTTGAAGTGGATGGAACACTCTGTATCACCTTGTTCCCAGTACTAGACTACGAGCACCACAGAGTTCAGCTCAGCACCCATACTATAACGATATAAACAAAAAGACCACGTTGGTTTCTGAGTGCATTCTGCCTCTTCTCTGTCTTCATGCAAACAAATTGTTTTCTAACAGCTAAGGAACCAATGTTACTCTGCAAAAGCACAATGCTGACACAACTGTGTTTTTCTGACAACTCTCAGTGCTCTAGAGATGTTTGGAATAATGTAGTAGAAAACTAAGTTCCTTCAAGCAAGCTTCTTCAGTTTTTGGGTGGGCAGAGTATCCTTAATTCCTGCTTCTTTCAATGGCGCTTCAGGATCTACCTCATCTGGGTGAATCTCATTTGGGTACAACTAGAGTCTGAAAAGGGGTAACTTTTTTTTTTCCTCCAAGGTGCTGAGGAATTAACAAGTTGCCTAAAAGGCTGTGTCTTCCATGGAAAGCAGGAAGCATGAGTGGTAAATGTTACTCATGAGACTGGATCATTTCCTTGTAAAAATGCTACATTATTTTAAAGTAATACTTCAGGGAAGTGAGAGAGGTTTATTACCTCAGAAAACTAATGAGTAGAAGAAGAGGAAAGAGACCAAAAAGCATGCTGCCCAAATACAAAGGCAATAATCCAAATAAGATTAAACTAATAAATCTAACTTTGACTTACACTCCAGAATTAAATAAACAGTAGTATAGAAAAAAGGTTGGTGTGTATGAGGCCCCGTTTATTTATTTTGCATCTTGTTTGACAAATCCCTGTATAAGTTGTCTCTCCACTATGGGATGAATCTGTTGCACTTTTTGTGAACATCAGGGGTTTACGTAGCACAACTATTTACTTAAAATCATTTCCTTATGCACTGTTGTCACAGCCTACAAATAACTGATAAAACAGCTTTCTCCAGGATCTTCTCCTGCATGCATCTTTTTTTGTGTGCAGATTGCAAGTCTGACTGACATTCCT